TTGAGATACCCTCACTCAATGGATATTCAACATCAACCAAATAATATATACCTGATGTGAAGTGTATGATTAATGTTGCGGGAAAAATGAATTAGAGGAGTAGCTCAGTCTCAAGCGTACCTGTAGGTGGATGCAGGAAGTTGTACTTATTTTTCCGCGTCGCGACTTTAAAAATTTGGTTGTCATGTGCACTGCCCTTTGAACCAACCATGATAATAGTGAATTACATGTTGAAGTCACATATCTCCATGATATTCTACGTCGAGGACCCACAATGACCGATGAATGCAATCTTCTCATTATTTGAAACACGTGCATCAACGTGTGTTTAATCAATTATTCTGATACATTTCTAGAAAGATAACAAAGAGTTACATGATTACAATATTTATTTAAAAATTTAATGTAATAAATTGGAGAAATTACCTTAAAGAATGACATATACCGAGCATCGTGTGAAATCTTTGTGGGGGTTTGTTTGAACGTATGATATGTAGGTTTTGTAGCTTGTGAAGAAAAGCTTACAAGTTCTTTCAACTCTATTGAGAAGTACTTGTAAATATTTTTGAATGAGTATTGAAATCACTCTATTGCTCCTCACAGTGATTCATTCTGTGATAATATGTAGAATGTTATCACCAATACCTCTCGTGCAATCGTCTTGGATAAACCATGAAGTCCATAATTTCTGTGTAGTTCCTCCAATATACCGTTGAATACCTTTCGTGTCATGCAAAACATATTGTTAATTCACGTCGAGTGGTCCACAAACAACTCCCAAACTCATTTATCCCCAACATATGAAGATGTCATGCAAGGGGAGCGCTCTATGTATGAGTTATAATATTCACACATCAAGCATACAACAACTGCAACTCTTCTTGTTCGTCTTTCTCTGGTTGCATTCATATATTTCAACATTGAAGTTTTGTTCGTCTTTCTCTGGTTGCATTCATATATTTCAGCATTGAAGTTGCTAACACATAAGCATCAATAAATTAGTTATAATCATATAAGGTTATGAATAACACAATAAACATATAAGTATCAATGAATAAACATATAAGGCATGCCTCAAGCAGTTGAAATATCTAAAGCAAAATGAAAAAAAAATATATAAATGTGTCGTGTGATTGTAAATAAAAAAGTATCTTATTGTTCCTGCGCTCATAAAAATATAGTAGACACGCCATTCTACGGTCATCGAGCATTTTGATGAAAAAATCTCTTCGGGTCGAATCTTCAAGCAACTTAATTGAAAATAAATACGAGTCCTAAAAAAATTTCTGGAGTTGCATTCAAAATTTGCATAACTTGGTCGACAGAAGTTGCTTGAGATGTGTTGGGTTCATTGTTGCATGAAGTCACCGGTTGTGAGATTTGGCTTCTAAGGAAAGCAACTATCAATTTAGTTTTATTTTCAACCCCAGACGCTTAGAACGAGACGTGCACTCAAGTTCTTGGAGGTCTAGGCTGGGGCCTTCAGTGGAATCACCCGATTTCTCGGCTCCTAAATTTTCAGGAACGCCACTAAACCCTGTCTCACTGGGAGCACCACTAAACCCTGTCTCACTGGGGGCACCTGCATTGTTGTCCGTTGTCGCGACACCCCCAACCATACGATCCCACTTCTCCTCGAACTCAAGATTGATTCTACTGTATTTAAATATTTTCACAGTAAGCAACAACTACAAATTCTTATAACATGTAGTTCAATTTTAAAATAAATTAAAAATTGACCAAATTAGATGACATTTTAAAAATGTTTACCGCAAATAATTCTGTCCACCACTCCTTGGAAGCTTCAATGGTTCGCTTCACTGGATCCACCCCTAGCCCATTGACCCTCGCTTCAATTCCTTCCAGGTTTTTAAATTTTTTTTGAGCTAATCCCACTTGTTTTTTAATTACATATACTCTCTGACTGTACTTTCCTTAAATTTTTTGACAATATTTTGCCACTGTTCCTTATTGAAGCAGGTTGTTGGTCTATTTTTCCAGGTCAAGCCCAAATCAACCTCCTTGAGACAAATGTCACAAAATATTATTATTGTTTATTTGTCCCACATTACAGATGAACCGACCTCATTGGTCTTAACCATTATATTACTAACATGAAAAAACAAATTAACATAAAGAGGAAAGCCACAATATCGTAAAATAGGAGTGTCGCAATATTAACAATATCGACATCTACACCACCTCCACACCACACACCACCACAACTACACCAAACCCTAAACCCTACAACAACACCTCCATATGACATACAGATAAATTCACACACATGACACCACCACCACCACTTCCACAACACACAACACCTCTACATCACACCACTGCCTATATCAACACCACTATATCCTCCACATCACACACCACCACCATCGCACCACAAACCACCACAATCACACCAAACCCTAAACCTTACAACACCACCTCCATACCACAGACCGAAAAATCCGCACAAGTGACACCACCACCTCCACAACACATAACACCTTTACACCACACCAGTGCCTATATCGACACCACCACCATCACCTCCATAACCACACACCACACACCACTATAACCACACTAAATCCTAAACTCAACAAAATCACCTCCATATCACATACCGACAAATCCACACACGTGACACCACCACCTCCATAACACACAACAACTCTACTCCACACCACTGTCTATATCGACACCACCATCACCTCTATAACAGTACACCACCACCTCCACACCACACGTCACCACAACCACACCAAACCATAAAACTTACAACACCACCTCCATACAACATATAGATAAATCCACACACGTAACACCACCACCTCCACAACACACAACACATCTACACCACACCACTGTCGATATCGACACCACCACCACCACACACCACCACAAGCACACCAAACCCTAAACCCTACAACACCACATTCATACCACATACCGACAAATTCACACACGTGACACCATCTCTACAAAACACAACACCTCTACACCACAACACCGCCTACCCACCACTTCCACACCACACACCATCACTTACAACACCAAACATCGTCAATTATAGGCTCCACAACACAAATCCATCTGTCACCAACTAGGACAGTATAGTACAACCACAAAAAATACATTTGCATTCAATTAATTTCCACATGCAACCCACCAAATTTTAGGCAACAACTAACATCACAACACAACTATCCAAATTTATCAGCCGAATAACTAATACAAAACAAAAATAATCAAATAAAAAATATATCGAAGAGCCTAATAAAATTGAAAAATCTAATAACCTAACCACCAAAATCCATCAACCGAGTAGAGCACAAAAAACCGAAATCTATCAACTGCACAAACTGAAATCCACCTAAATTCCAACATTGCAACACAATTAACTGAAAATATCAAAGCACACCAACAAATCAAAATTTTCAACCCTAAATCAACATGTTTAAATAAAAGTCAATGAAAATACGGTGGGGAGAATATATATTCAATGATCCTAGAGTATTGAGAAGCAAACTCGACGTATCAATGGAGTCAATGAAAATACGGTGGGGAGAATATATATTCAATGATCCTAGAGTATTGAGAAGCAAACTCGGCGTATTAAAGGAGAAATATTTGCGCACGTAAGATGCACGCAGCGCTGCGTACGTCAGAAATGAGGGTTATATCCGCGTTGTATCCCCTTTAACCTCATTGTAACCTACCTGTAACCTATTTGTAACTTAGAAATATAAGAAAACAAAAGCGTGAAACTTACTAGTTACAGATAGGTTACAATGAGATTACATAGGGTATAACACATATATAAACCCCAATACATAACTTTGCTTACGTCTTACATACGCAAAGGTTTCTCTTAACAATGATAAGAGAAAGAAACAAACACAACCCATTGCAGCGATCCAAGAGGGCCGAGAGATCAAATTTTAGGAAAAAAATTTGCATACGTAAGACGTACGCAACGCTGCGTGCATAATGAATGTTATATGGGCGTTATATATGCATTATATTCACGTTATATTCCTTACAACCTCTATATAACTTCCATGTAACCTATATGTAACCTATAAATATGTGAAAATAGAAACGCGAAACTTATTTGTAAGTTCATGTATGTTACATGTAGGTTATATAGAAATTATATGAAGGTTACAATAGATATAACACGAATATAATGCCGATATAATCCATTATTTATGTAGTGTTGGAAAAAATTTGCATACTTGAGACGTACTCAACGCTATGTACATAATGAATGTTACAGGGGAGAGCGGGGACGAAAGTAATCGCCAGAGCTTGCGCAGTAAATGAATCGCGAATAAAGGGTCTTTCACAGAAACGCGGCTCCACAAACGGTCCTAATTGAATACTCAAGCCGCACCCCTCGAATAAGCCGCGCCAAACGTAAGGCGAACAAAGATCGATTTTGAGGAAGCGTGAAACTTACTAGTTACAGATAGGTTACAATAAAATTACATGAGGTATAACACAAATATAAACCCTTGCTTACGTCTTACATAAGCCGCCCCAAACGTAAGGCGAACAAAGATCGATTTTGAGAAGCTCCGCTTCCCTAACTGGGGATCGCAGGGTACAAAGATCCGAAACTCCATCTTGCTTCTCCTTCCTCGAAACCATGGAGGATCGTAAATTCGGGATTCGAGGTGAAAGGGAGTAAAAACGTTATTTAGCTTAAAATCCTGCGACTGAACAGCCCCATAGTCCTCTTCATCTCTTGTTCTCTCCTCTACGATCGCAATCTATCTCTTTTAGACCACACCGCGCTTCTAAGCAATGATAAAGAGGCGATTCCATAAAGTCGAGCACGGAGACAATAGCGGCACTTCCGAGTCATCGTCAACGTCAGGCACTTCTGAGTCATCGTCATCGGATGACTCCGACTCTTTTAATGAAGTAGATGCGGAGGAAGGCCGTGATGTTGAAGATGAGGAGGGAAGAAGGGGAGGTGATAAGAACACTCTGCTTCACCGTTCTCCCGGTACGTTATCTGATTTACCCTTATGGATCAATACTGTATTTATCTTTGATATTTTTGATACTTTTCATCTTTTATCCTATCTGATGAAAACACAAAAACTTCTTTGTTTTTCTTGCTTTGCGAGGTAAGTATATTCTTCATTTAACGATTTCCGTGATCTTGGTATGCCACGAGTTCATAATGTCAAGTCAGTTTGCCCATTTCAGTGATACGTGATATTGTTTGGATCGGGACTTGGTAGTACTTTTAGGGCGGGCTTATGAGAAGGCGAACTGAATCTTTATTGCTTAACGTGTACAAGGAAAGTGTGAACAAAAGAATAACGAAAAAGGTTGCATTACAGGTAAAATTAGGTGGTGTTTGGTTGCGGCAGAAGATTTACTTTAATAGGATTTATCAAATCTGTGGATTTCGGTCAGTTCACCACGAAGATGGACCAGTCAAGAAACGCCAACATAAATCCATATAATCCGCCTCCTACTCAGATTTGATAAATCCAGATTCAGGCCCTAGAAAAAAACATAAAAGGGAGAAACAGACAGAATGAGAGAGATTTAGATTTAACGAATAGTTGGATTTGGTTTTCCTATTTTTTTGGTGTTTGGCTGGATTTAGATGAAGCCTTGGGTTAAATCCTATTAAAAGTTTGCTACCAAACACCCCCTTAGGATGAAAGTAGTAGACCTGGCTAAGTAGATGGAGGGCTTTTGATAGATGACGAGCAGAGCAAGCACACACTTAAATTGTGCTCCATACTTCAAAAGAAAACTCCACAATAACATGCATTTCAAGTTGTATATGTGAAATATGAACCTTTGCCAAACATCCGGGATTTTGAAGAGTTGCCTGGATCAAGACTTTAGGGAGTGTGTGAGCTGTGGTGATCCTTTTATAGTTGTATGGATGGCTTATACACTTGTGATTTTGCACGATTAATAGGGTTGCAAGAGGCCAAACATCATTTAAGGGGCGCCACTGGAGGATGGAGGATGCATGGTGTACAGGACCGAGGTTTGTTGCATGCTAGGATGTCATGTTTTGAAGAGCATTTGTTGGAATAATTATTTGAAAGAGGAGATCTTTGGTGTTTGATCATGATGATGTCTCGTGGGTAACATTGTCTAGGTTTTTGAGAGGATTCAAATTTGTTGAACAGTTCTACTTGATTGAGAAGTACATTCATGCTTAGAAGAATATGAGTTCTATGGTTGAGGCAACTAGAGTGCCTTGTCAATCAGCTCTACATGATGACAAATATATTCGTGTGCGTGTGTCTCAATGGTGCTCAATAAATGGACTAAGATCATTTGATTAATTAGTTGGGTTATTTCTTTACCCAATATTGTCTCTTGATTGGTTGAAACCATTCCATAAAACAATGGTTGTAAAAAACTGTGTATCATTATTTGAGATGCGACTAGCGCTCACTCAATTTGAAACATAAGTCATCTACTTACCTTAAAACTCTCAACAATAGTAGGGTGCCTGGATACTACTTATCTGTACTAAAGGTTAAAAGTCGATGACTAGTTCCTTCTGCTTTTTCCCAATGTCTTCTTGCTTCTCCATATGTTGATTATGAAGAAGCTTACTTTGGCCACCCCTTACAGGAGCACGAGGCATCATATGCAAGCTTTTGAGGAAGATGTTGGTTACATTTTCTGTATTGTGGTGATCCATGAAACGTCTCCGCCCTCGCTATTGGAGCATGAGACATTGCATGCAAACTTTCGAGGAAGATGTTGATCCCAATTTTTTACTTTTGTTTCATGGATTTGGTCTTCTTTGTTAAGAGACTGTGACTACACGTAGTGATGATGCTAGAATTTTGTAAATGTTTGGTTTTTAAATTGCCACAGGCATCCAATTTATACTTTTGAAAAAGATATAGGCTCCATTTCCATTGTTGAACTGTCTTGATCCTTGCTTTATTGCTATTGATACCAAATTGGAAGAGGTAGTAGCTACTCTTGAAGTAGTTTCTATACCCGAGTTTCCATTGTTATCTATTCCTTTTAATAATGTTGATTGCTTGGATTTAACCCCCTTTTTTTATGGACCAATGTTTTTTTGTTAAGGAGAAAATTGATGGAAACCTATTTGTTGATGATGGGATTTTTTGTTGAAATGATGATGGAATCATCACTATGCCTGCAAAAAATGATGATGTGGTATCTTTATTTTAGTTATGTCAATGACGACGACTCATCTTTGATTGTTGGAGTTAAGGAAGAAGAGGACTTGGTGTTCTCTTTTAGAAATGACATTGTTTTTTCTGAAGAAAATGTATGAGGATTAGTAAAAAATCTCCCACCATGGAAGCGACTCAAGAGGTAATATTTGAAGGAATATTTATTTGACAGTGAAGTTGTCAGGAAGCACAAATGAGGAAGGAGACTCGGACATTGACTTTGTGAGACACCATCATCGTAAGCAGACATGTGCTTTTACTAATATTCTCAAGAAGCATGTTGGGGCTTATGATGTTCTTACAAAAAGCATTACAATGCCTATTAATACCATTGTAGAGCGTGTTGGGATTCCAT